GTATGTAGGGGATTAGGGGGAAACCGTCGTTGAGTGCCCCTGTACTTTCAATGCTACAGTTGTAGATTGATCTATGTTTATTACTCAGTAAAACAATCCGCCCGATGAAGAGTTTTTAACGATCTGATCAAAGATTTAGAAGAAAGCGTTTATGATTGAGTACTTCATAAGATCGGAATCAGAGCAATGTTGCGGAATACTCGACACAAGTGTACGGCTACCTCCGGAGAGATTTTACGTCACCAGTATGGAATTTCTATCGCTGAGGCACAGACGTCTTTCTTGCAAAACACCCGAGGAGAGGAGCGGGGCGAGAAGCGAAGCGAGGAGAGACAGCTGTATTCGCAGGCTACCGTTCACAAGCAAATGCGTGAATGCAAAATGAAAACGCCCCGTTTTTGTCGCGTGTCCGGAGATTCTGAATCCGGAATTTAAAGTGAACACTTTGTATTGGAATAAGTGTTCTCGGATTTTCTGCTGATGTGTGCGGACACCTACTCAAACGAAAGGACCAAGCAAACCGTTCGTAATAAGGGGGTGTCCGTATTAAGCGGTGCTGTTTTATACTTATACTGTGAAACTTTGGCACAGTTCTATTCTCACACATTATTTTTGTCCAAATTTAAAATTTTGGGTGCGGCCTTCTTGAGTAGGAATCAATTAATACAAAACAGTAAAAAAAAGAAAAAGAAAAACACACAAGAATACCTTACCTCGTCGTTTTGTTGTAATTGCGAGCCAGTTGTAATTGTCTCAGAACCATTACAGCTTGTTGTTATAAGTCCCTTTTTTCTTTATACTTTATCTTTTCTTTCTTGATGAAGCAGGTGCCTTTAATAGCCTTTGCTAATTTAAACGTTTTTTTTTTTATCTTGGATAGATTTGGGAATATCCCTTATGGAGCCATTAGAGGATTTCGAGCACCATTCCTTATGTTTACCGAGAACATGTTCAAGGTTCTATACATCAGCAAATTTACTTACGACCTGTCCTGGCCGGCTAATATTAGGTTTGATGGGCGTGGCCCTATGTATCCCTACACCCTGGATTACAAGTCAACTCAGGTTTGCCCTACCAGTCAACAACCATGCCCAAAAATGTCCTACCCCGGCCTCTGGGAGATTCCAAACGTCAATCTCATGAACAAAGACCACACTACTTGTGGTTCAATGATGGACGCGTGCGATCCTAACGGCAATGAAACGGTGTGGTATGATATTCTGGTGAGAAACTTCCACTACCACTACGATACAAACCGAGCTCCGTTCGGAATGCATATGCACCCGTCGTATTTCTATTGGGGCCCTTCGGGTGACCACATGAACGCCGCCAAGAAATTTCTCAAGTATGCCCAAGATTTGAGCGATGTCTGGATTTTGACGGGTTCCCAAGTGATTGCGTGGATGAAAGATCCCCAAGATATTGCGCAAGCGAAAAGTTTTCCACCATGGATGTGCCCGACTCGTTCTCCCCCGAGATGCACGGACTCCACAGCCAACGACTGTCACTACACCAAGCCTCAAGATTTCTACATGAAAACCTGCACCAAGTGTCCACCGCATTTTCCATCACCTACTGATCCAGATGGAAATTAGACTGAACATGAACATTCCAAGGACCGACAATTAGTAATGGTGACAAGACTGAGTGGAGTCCAATTCGGTCTCTAATCATACGAGTGATTAACAAAATCGGACGACCGCGTAGCGGGAGTCCGATTTGTTTTAAATCACGAGTATGATTACAGACCGAATTGGACGACACGAAGTTCTAGATCTGTTACCAATTAATCATAACTGTGACAAAATTTGTGATATAATAGACTATTTTTTAAATCAAAACACAAGAAATTCCAAATTTTGTTTTGCTAGCAGTGAAAAAAAAAAAGCCATTTAAGCGCGCGCGTGAGGGCGCGTACTGTCCTATTAAACTGTCCAATTAAGGCTGAAATCAGGGCAGTTGATAGCCAATCAGATTTGAAAATTTTGTTTTAGTTATTATTAACATGATTAACTGACAGAAATTTAATCAAGTGACCTAATAAAGTAGTTTTACTACCGTGAAAAGGTTGAGAAGCTGACGTTTCGGCTCAAGTATGATCTCTCGTCAGAGAAAACCCTCAGGGCGGATTCACTCTGACGAAGATTTCAGGCTCGCGAAACGTGAGCTATTCAATCTGTTGATAACTTGACTGTATTCTCTCAGTTGGTAAAACCAATTTTATAAGTCAATCCCCCACGGACGAATGACCACAGTCACTTTTCTTCGCACTCAATTCCGGGCAGTAGTTGGATAACATTAAACATTAGCAGTACATAATATGATCTTTAAAATCAG